CCATCCACCCATCCACCCACCCACCAATGTCACTGGGGCAGCAGTCTCAAGAGAGATGCCCAGACCTCCCTCTCTGCCTCTGCCAGCTCTTGTGGAGGGGGCTTTCCAAGCCAGTCGACACACTTAATGTCTCCAGTGTGTCCCAGGACACCAGGGACAGACGGCCAACTTCTGGAGCTTTATTAGTAACCGAAGCACCTAAAAGGGTTTTTCTTTTCTTTCAGCCATCTCCATTACTTATAGTCCACCCTGGCTTCATTTCCATTGTAGTCTGTGCTACGTGCAGCATTTTTTCAGCTTTTTCTGAATGTATTTTTCTCTGCTGTGCCTCTGTTCTGTAGAAATGTTCCCAATTTCCTTGTTTGTTTTCTTAAGTCATGGTGCTTTCAGCTCTTTGAACAACAGGCATTTAGGCATACACAATTAGCAATCATATCTGCATATCGAATGACCCCGCTAAAGGTCTCCCTCATCTTACACCCAAACTGTTTTGATCTCCAATGCAGGTGAAAGTCGTGCTCTCACTTGTGGCTAAACCAAATACGGCAGAAGTTTTGGTCCAAGCCGGGGGAGTTGCATAACAGACCACAGTCACATAGACACACACAGTCACGCTGTTGCTATTCATGGGCAACAACACACTCGTGGACTGACTTGGCCTCTATCACCCAAGTGTAATATTATACCAGAGCTGCTCTAGGAGATTAAATGGCTATACAGGCATCCATTTTATCTGAGTATTCGCAGTTAGACAGATGGAATCTGCTGCTCCCAGAAAAATATTGACTTTTTCAGATACTCAATTCTACCTAAAGCCTAACATAAATCCAGATAGTAAGTAATTCATTTCTGGAATGGTATGTAAGGTCACACGTCTTCTCTTTTTTTATTTTTCCAATCATCTGTGAGTCGTCTTCTTTCCTTCCTCTCTTCCACATTCCCTGGCTTCAATCCACCCACACCCACCCCCGCCTTCCCTGTTCCCATTGGTGCCAGCTTACCTTCACACCAAGGGTTGAAGAGCATGACGATGTTCTTGCTGGAGGTGTAAGTAGTTGTGGCGTCGCCTTTGAGCGAAGAAGTTGTCACAGTGAGCTCGTAAAGGCCGATCACAGCGTTGGCTGGAGAGTTGATGGACAGCTTGATCTTATTGCCGTTCTGCTCTACAATTTTGGCCTCCCAGCGTTCATCTTCCAGGTGCTTCACCAGCAGAATGATGACATGGGTCCCTTTGGATACCAAGGGCAGGGAACCTACACCAAACAGATACATAACCATATTATTCCCTTTTTTTAAAAATTATTTGTATATTTCTACTCAAACTACTAATAGTCAAAGCACTTGTTTAATAATTGAAATCCTTCTAAATGTTGCAGAGATATTAACTAAGGTTGAAGATGTTGAAGATGTTACAGCGAGTCAGAGTATCCAGGCTTAGTGTTGTGCTTGTTAACATGAACAGGTAAAAATGGAAGCTGAAGCCGGACTGTTCATCACCGATCTATCACATGCTGAAGTTCGGGCTGCTGGGCTGGGGTTAGCGTTCACTCTTTATCATCACCCTAGGTTCTTGGCTAGCTTTGTGTTAGCATGCTATCTGTGCAGATGCTTGCAAAGAGCTGAAGTTGCATTATAGTATTACGTAGTTATTTCCGTTCTGGACGCAGTATGCACTTTACCATCATGCTCCTATCAGTTTATGCAATAAAGATAAAAGTAACGTCCATAGCTCCACCATTTTCCTCCTCTTGACAAGAACTGAAATCAGCTCAATGTAGCATGTTTTTTCTTTTTTTTTCTGTCTGGGTTGTTGCAAATAACGAAAAAGCTTTGTAATGCAAGTGACAATAAACTTGTAATTACTGGATTGTGTAAATGTAATACGATAGAGCAACATGTTACTTTGGAAAGCGTTACATTCAACACTGATTGCGATGACAAAGGATTTCAAAAATAGTTGTAAACAACTGCAACTTTTTTGCTAAAATGCTGCCACCTTGTGGCAGAGGTTCTTTTCAAATACACTTTATGAAGAGTTATGAAGAGTTTTTACAAAAAGTACATTTAAATTCATATTCATGGCATTCAATGTTTTAAAGACAGTCAGAGAATTTGTCTTTTAAATGTAAAACTTGAGTCAGGACACAGTCAGGTGTATTTGAGTGTACTGTGTGTGTATGAGTGCATGCACATAACCTTGTCAAGGATGTGGTAAAATATCTTTGCTTTATGTTTTTGAATGAAAATTTAACCTGCACAGCTCCAAAAAGTGTTTTCCTGTTTTCGCTTATTTGTAATTATAAGCTAACCTTGAAGATTTTGATCAAATAAGGCAGCAGCAACAACAGCAAAGAGACCTCCTTACAAAATCTGGTTGCAAACCTTTTCACATCACAGTAATTTTATGTTATTTCCAGTGTATGGCAACCATTCTAAACTGTAAACCACATGTGTATGATAGTCTTTGGCCCAGCTATGTGTGGGTTCCAAGAGTAAATACTAGCGTGGGCCTGGAAAACCTCCAAAACTCCAGGATGTGCACATCTCCACAGAAAGCGTGCACATTTGTGTGAGTGATTATTTAGCTTTAATGTTCCTTTAAATGTGTTTTTCTCATGGACTAGCAAATCCATTAGTTAGATTAAAACCCTCTGGATGTTCTCCTCCGAGCTGCTTGCTTTGTGCAACCCTGCTGGACGACCATTCGTCCAAACAGAAATACGGAGTTTACCAAGAAACCATTGTTCTCCATTTGACCGCATCCAGGACACCCCTCCCTTCCTCTCTCACCTCTGAATACTTTTTTTTTAGCATACTTTTTTTTTAAGCATGAAAATGATGAAAAACAGTGTCTCTTTTCTGCTCAAAACAACAGCTTTGAAAGCTTTACTGATAAAAAATCACTGCTTTTGGAGCAACACTTCGAGCCTGTTCCCTGCCCACAGTGACACTGATGGCAGCCAGTCTGCTGAATGTGGAGAGCTCAGACACTTTGTTTCTTTTTTCCTCCCCTCTCCCCATGAAGCTATCACAGCAGAAGGAGCAAATCACTTCTGGGTGGTGATGTATTGCCAGAGTGTGTAGCATGAGGTCTGTAAATACCAGAGGGAGGTGTCCAGTGTACCGAGGCCTGGAAACTGTTAAGACTGCGGGCTGCTGGGTGGAATCCAGAACTTGTTGTTCAGCCATGAGCTGCTGCTGAAATCAAATGTGCTAGCTATGCACAACATTTGGACCGTATTTCCCATGATTTGAGCAGTCGCTGGTTTCTTTCTTGTGTTTGCAAATGAAGCTAATTTTGGTTAAAAGGCAATCCAACAATTTTAAACGCAAAAAAACGTTTACAAATAGTTAGTGGCACTTTTCCTATGAAAAATCGAAAGCAGCGTTTTATTGGATGACTTACCTTCCAGTAACGTCAGCGTTAAATGTTATCTCCCACATGCAATGTTTCCCACATACACTTAATTACAATGTGCATCTGTTACTTTTAAAACTGTCTTTTAAATGGCTAAAAAAAACTATTGATCATACTCATTGTTACAATTTTTAATTTATTTTTCTTCATATTTTGGTTTTAAAAAGATGGACACTGTCCAGCCACTGGCTTCATACCTGTTTTCAGCTCCAGGTACAGCTTGTCAGTGTCAGTACTGAAGGGCCTGTTGAGCTCAACCTCTATCTGGAAGGTCTGGCCTCTGCGAAGGATCAGCTCATCCCCGTGATACAGGTCAGTGTGATGCTCCTGTCTGTTCTGACCTGCCTTGGAACTCAATAGGTCCACCGAACACACTGACAGCTTCCCTTCTAACAGGAGAGGGTTGAATATCAGATTTGATGCCAAAGACAATGTCATGTTTTCACACAGTTTAAAATAAGTGTCGTTACCATCTGTTTCCTTTGCCTCTCCGTTCTCGGGCTTCGGCTTGGGGGGATCTACGATGGCGGCAGGGGTTGGGAGTTTGGTGAATTCCACCTTATCTGTGACATCATATGAGGTGGCGTTTGGGTGCTTACAGCAGCACGGGCACATCTTTCTGAGCCACCATAGACAGCCCCCCTCCTCACGCTTCTTCTCACCCTCATTCTGGATGGTCAGCTCCACCCTTGTGGGTGGGGCTGCTCCGGGGAATCGCCCAATCTCTGATGTAGTTCTTACTGTTAACCGCTCACCTGGCATTCTGGAAAACACATGAAAAAATGTTAACTGTAATTCTAAAGAGAAGAATTTTGGATACCGATTATATGCACTATTCTCTGGTCTTTTAATTCACTAAAATTCAATTTTCATTCAGTTTTATTTTTTTTATTGGCCAGTTCCCAACATATATATAGTAAAGTAAAGACCCCACAATAATAGAAAGAAAGGAGATTAATTAAGTACACATACAGTTAATATTTTATGCCAATTAACTGCTCACAAGTAATGAGAGGCCACAGGGAGTCCAATTTATTTCATATCTTTGTAATAAAAACAATGCGATGGACTAAATGAACAGTTTCCTTGTTTCTTAGTTTCATTAATTACTACATTCCTGACATGGACTGTACTCAGCTGCAAGTCCTTCCCGAACAATTTCGGGGAATTTCGCCATTCTTCCTTCTTAGGTGCTCTGTGTGAGCAAACATAACTGCTTCGAGCAGCTGGATTCAATCTGCTGCGCCTCAACTGCTGGAGAGCAGTGTAGCTGCTGTGCTCGTGATGTCTTTTTGCGTGCACATTGACTGCAAGCGCAAGTGGACAGGGTCGTGCACCTTACGAGCATTTATCATACTGTCACATCCCCACCCTCATACACTGCACTAATAATCACAGCGGAATGAGATCGTTAGTCTCTTTGAGGATTGGCCTGACCTTCCTCGCTCGTTCTTGTGTTTACTAGAATGCAAATCTGAGGGAGGAGACGGTTTTCCCTCAATCCTTCTTTTGGTTTTACCATCTGCATCTTCTCTCTATCAAAACAAAATCACAAGCTGTGTGTGACATGCAACTTTGCAAATGTGAAAGCTATTTTGTTTTTCAAAAACAAACCATCAGTGAAGTTTTGTTAGCACATGTAAACTGTAATGAGCTGCAGTGATGCACATTGTTGGGAGAAAACAGTGTTGTTAATGAAACGTTAATAGCAGACACGTGGTTTATAGAGCAATACAATTTAAATAGCCATGAACATATATGTATGTGCATGTGTGTGCTTGTTACCAGTTCTTACTGGTGAATGGACTGGTTGTTATATAGCTCTTTTCTACTCTACTTGAGCATGTGGCTTTCACCCATTCATTTATTAATTCATCAAAAGCACGTTATTTCTACGTCTGAGTGCTTTTTGATCTAACATTAGCATACACAGTCAGAAATGTGGTTGTTCAGTATGTTGCCCAAGGATACTTTAGCATACCGACCTGTGCAACCAGAGACTGAACTGCTAATCTTCCGGTTACTAGATGATCGGCTCTACCTTCTGATTCACAACCACCTAAACATGAGCCACCGTCAGCAGAACATGAGCATCTTGACTTCTAGGCAATGTTAATACTTTTGAACTTAAGCATGAACTGTACTGTAGTTAACTAATAATATGCTCCTTAGCTTTGGGGTAACCCTAAGTTTCCCTATAAACAAGAAACAAGGTAACATTTAGGGCTTACTTTGGAGATCATTTCTAGTTATAGTGAGTGAGCTGTGATTGGACAGTTACCACACATTCAGTCATTTCTGTACATAACTTCAGCATACCAGTTTACAGGTACAGGTTTGACCGGTGAAGTAAAAAAGCATTACAGGAATGTTTAGATGATAACGCAGACAGATGGGAGCTACTGATCCAGTGTGGCTGAGCTGATTTTCAAGGGTAACTATTTGCATGTCACGACACAGGGTGGAAAGGGCAGAGGTCAAAGGGCAGACAACAGCTGAGGAAGAGGGAGGGGCGCCTCATAGCCTCAAAGCTTTTAAAATCAATGCATGTGTGCACGATCCGTGTGACGGTCACGTTTTGTATTTTTTAACTCTGTGGCTTCCTGAGTTCATCTGAATCCTGACGGAAAATGATAAAGCTGTATGTTTTTCACACAGTGACCTCACCCAAAGCTCAAGTCGATACTGTTAGGCTCACTGAATCTAAAAAAAAGGAAGCGAGGCAGAAAAACAAACACCCTCCATATGAGCTATTACAGGATCTTTTGAACATAACTAAGTAAACAAGCAACTTACAATTGTTTTTTGTCCTTTTTAAAATGAAGCCTTATCTTCTTCTTGCACCAAGGTGGTCTAAAATTGGCCAATTAGAGACATCCACTGAACCCCCTAGAACCATGAAAAGTCATTTCACAAGCCTAATTTTTTGGCAGCCTTTCTCTTCCCTTGCTCACACTCTAATGCACAAACTTAAAATGATCTATACTGTAATACAGCCATCAGCCAAGCTTGAAATGAAGTATTCTTCATCTCGTCCTCCCTTTGCTACTCTCACTACCACTCATATCACTTTCTTCCATTGTACTTTGCTCTGTATCTCCGCAGTCCTGCACTTTTCTTCCAGTTTTTGTTAGCATGGCTGTTACGCCTACTTGGTCCTGATATGCCCCCTACAAATTTAATGTTATCTTGTCTACAGTAAAACCAGCTTCAACTGGCTTGTTTGTCCAGTGAGTTTGGTCCCATGTAAAACTGACTGATTATTAAACTGTCGCAACAAATCCCTGGAGTTCCAGTGTAAATTTTTTTTAAGTACATAGAGATATTGCTTTCCTATACACTACACATCGTCTAGGTCATTGAGAAAAGAAAGGGATGAGCTGCAGCAGCTGGCTGCCAACCAAAAAGGCTGAAGCCATGAAAATACCTGAACTAATTGACTGTGTTTGTTTGATTTTAAATGAACGTAGAAAACGTTTAAACAACAAAAAACGTCTTAGCGTTTGGAAGGTGGGGTGACCAGACATGTTCTTTCTACTGGACACAAATTAGATGAGGTGGCTAATTGTAATGATGAACATAGCCCTCAAATTCGAGCTTTCCTAACTTGTTTTTCCCCGTGGAGAAAGATCCAGTAAAAGTTTAACTGTAACAAAACCAAGAAAGAATGCGCACAACTTTACGCCTGTGCCTGACTTCAACATCTGTCTTAAGAAAGCGAAATGCGAGTGGTTGAAAAACTTACTTTCTCTGTATGGATTCTTCTTTGGATCAACGATGAGACCTGGATGTCGTCGTGAGTAGCTATCTCTCAGCCTGTGAGAACTTTTGGAAACTTTTCGTCTTAATGCGCATTCGCGTTCGTGGATCAGAATTTTAAGGGTGTCCTGGAATGTCCTGCGCGGTACTTAAAGCTGACACACACACCCCTGTTTCACACCGCTTAGCACCACCGCCCCGCCCTGGTTTGAAGTTTCCCACTCCCAACAGAAGGTGCAGCTGACGTTTGTGCGCGATGCGTCAGAGAGCATAGAGTGGGACAAGGCGGAGGACCCAAAGTTTCGTTGTGCAACACTTAGCAAAACTTTATCGATGGAGGGAAGGTGACAGACAGTGAAGAGGAGAGATAAGGACGGCATGCCTGAAGAACTATTTTTTGTGTTTGCTTTATACGGCGCATACAATAGGACCAAAAATAACAAAAATCTCCTGGATGTTTTCAGTTATGAACTCAGGAGTTCAAGAAAGTGCTGATTTAGCCAAACTTCCCTTTTTTCTCTTCTCCTTTTCTTGATTGCTGTACAGGAAAACCTCAAAGTCAAACCCATTCTGACCTCTGACCGCGCAAAGTTTGAACTTCATAATAACCAAGGCATAAGTTCATCCCGGGATAATTGAACACCTATTCGAGGTTTTATGACTCATAGGCCAATGCAAGCAAGCAGAGTGAATAACTGAAGTTGCATCAGCAGCTTTGTGGCTTGGCAGAATAGAATTATGAAGTCATACCAGATCGTGGTGATGATGACACAGACAGCCCGATAAATATAAAAACCTGCCCTCCTGTACCAATCAGCATTAGATGGTTGCTTAATCAGCTACATCTAGAGGAGAGAAATGCTCTCACAGGCTACAGTAAGGCATTACAAATTACTTACTATTACTTAGAATTAGGGCTGCCATAAGCAAGGAAAATATTTAAGGTGATGTTAAATGTAAATGTTGGTCTTATTATTATCAATATATCCGTAAACATGTTTCCGGATGAAATTGCAGATGCATAAGTTTAACCTTTTAAAAATGTGGTGCGGTTGATGTATACAGTTTGATATTCTTGTAGCTCAATCCACGTTTAGGCGATAAAGTATATCACTTTTTTTTTCATTTCACTGTGTTCTATAGCTACAATTTCACCTGACATGCTGTGTACTGTATTTAAATTTAAAGCAGTAACAGACATTAGAATTTCTTATAGCCTAGGGTTTTCCTAGGCATGACAATTAAGTCACTCGGTTCCCCTCTTTTATAATGGGAGAACCTCTGTAGTATTCCAGATCTTTGGAATTTTTGTGACAAATATGAGCCACTATTTTCATACTTTCCATGTTCACAGTCAAAACATTCAGCCATGCTGGAAATCATTAGGACACATCTGTCCCCGGACCACACGTGTTGCCAAGTTTCATTGCAGCTAATCTAATTGTCAGTGAACATGTGAGCTTGTGGGGATACAAGAAGTAAAGTCTGGGTTTTACCTTAGGAAGAGTATCCTGATGTTGGTTTAAAAAGTTTTAAAATTTTGGTGTGAACCTTCGTAATTCTTTATTTTTTAAAGATATTCAAGACTGAACTTAAGTGCTGGACTAAATGTACCTTCGGCAAAGGTACAAGTTAGGTGCCAGCATGGCTGAGTAACAATGAGTTAAGGCATGTTTTTGCACCGTATGCCTGAGCGAAAACGTTCAGTCTGTCAGTCCAAGAGGGGAAAAAACGTAGAAAAGAAAATACAACATTGACCATTCTGGAGGTGGTAGATTTAATAGTACTTTATCTTCTGTCACAGGACGCAGGCATATTGGGTCAAGCAGTCTGGGTTGGGGTTGAAGAGAGAAGGCCTGCAAAATGCATCAGCAAAGACACAGTAAACAGCACAGCCACAAGTACAGTGCAGTCCGGAACATGAGTTTAACATTTAGTTAGGGACTTACTGGAACACAGAAATGCATTCATAAATGTCTAATCTAAGAGAGAGGGCTGTTATTATTTGAACCATTTGATGCAGAAATTAAAGGCCTAATGCATTTTTTTTTACAATATAATTAGAAATAGCAGCTAAGAACCATAGATTTTTGTCATGATTTGTATTTTGAAAAGTGCAGAGGGTTTACCAGTCTTATTCTTGATTCTGTTGGCTTGGCACTAGCATGATAAATGGCTCAGACAACATTTGCGGCTTCTGCAGAGCGGTGGGCGTGAGAGGAAACATAAAGGTGACTTGGGTTCGCTGAGTATCTGAGTATAACAGATGGGACTGGGCCCTTGTTCTTATATTGTACTTGGGAAACTAAACACCCAACAGCGGGCCAAAGGAAACTTCCTGGCTGTGAGAGACATAACTTATTAGGAGTTGGAAGAAACCTTTTATTTGTGTGTTATATACATTTTTTATTAAGAACGAAAAGTGAAAAACATTGGCTGTCATTTATTGTATATCATTTTACAATTGGATTTTTTTTTTCTCAGCAAACACACAGCAGGTTACTGTCGGACTGACCCTGTGTCTGTGAGAATATTTTTGGTATGTGTTGTATTGGTGTGTCTTTGTTAAAAAGTAACCAAGTTCCACTGACTTTTTTCAGTGGCGAGAGGATTAAAAAAAGCACAGAGAGCCAAAGCACACATTATGAGTTTAACATAAGAAGAAAGGGAAAATAAAAAAAGACCATGTTATGCTAAAGGAATGCTTAAGGCAGTTCTTTTATCTGTGGGCTGGATAGCTTTGTTTGCATAAAGACTGGAAGACAAGTGGAAGAGGAGAAGTAAAGCATTTTGAATAAAAAAAGAATATAAAATTTAAAAAAAAATCAAAACCCCTCATTAAACATTTGTAATGAAGAAGCAATCAGTTGCCATTTGCCTCTTTTATTTTCTCTGTATTCAGTCTTTATTTAGGAAATTATGTAATTAATTAGATAATTTGTCTCTTATGTGTTAATTCATAGACATAGATGATGTTGTGTAGAAATAGCCTGGAAACAGATCAGTTTAGCATAATAAGGGGAGTTTAAAATAATAGAGGGCTAGCTAAAAACAAGAAAATCAATTAATAAAATAAAATAAGTAAAAAAATATTTCTAGAATGTTTCACATAAATTTCTTTTAAAAAGCTACATTGTATTACTAAGCTATTTTTTTATTTTTACCTTCGGGATAGATTATCTTAATCTGTTCTAAATTCTGAAGCTAAGTGTCTTATTTAGCAACCAGACAAAGTTGTTTGTTGGCTAGAAATAGAACCACTCAAACTCAGGAAAACAATGTTTTATACACTTTATTCCTTTAAAAGCTTAAGAAGATAGACGTGGATTTAGCTCTAGGGTGGAGAAATAAATCCATTGCAAAAGTTTTCTGTGTAATATTAATCCTGCATCCTATCTGATCTGATTACATCTTCAACTCGTGATGGATTTTTACGTTTAATCACTCATTTCGCAACCTTTACTTTGAAAGTGTACGTGCTCAGTTTCTGGGTTGCATCACACTTTTTCAACTTTTACTGCTCTGCATTTAGGTAACAAGTGTTTGCAGACAAGTCAGGACCTTCCATGCAAACTTAAGGTGACTGCAGCAATCTGCCATTGACCAAAGCGATCATAAGGAGTTTTCTTTCTTTTTTTTGGTACAGCCTCTTTGCAACCCATTGACTGGCAACAACCTCCAGGAACCATTTATCAACCAGTTTGGAAATACACATCTTTCCCTTTGCAACTGGTGATTGTATCATGTTCAGTATGTTGAGCTATTTGCTGGAAGTCTTTGTGCAACTACAGCTATTGCCTCTTGGTGGCATTTAAAAACAACAGAGGTCTGAGGCACTTGATTTCACTTTTAAGCCCCTTAGGCTGGATCCATCTTTTATGCTGTCTATGAGCACTCCTTGGGCTCAGTGGAGAACTTGTTTACCAAATGCTTTTATGGACACAACCCTTGTACTTTATTTGGTAGGGAGTTTGAAAAACACACCTTTTGAACAAGCTAGCTGTACCCCTTTTTATGTTAGGCTTGTTGCCATCACCAGCATCTAAACTAGTTTACTCATAGTGTGACTCCACCTCATCCACCCATCTTTAATAAAGAATTCAACCCTGAGATAAAGAGAGATGTTTCATTAAGCGTGACACAAACGTCATACCTAAAGCCTGGTAAATGGGAGTGGAGGATTTAACATTCAAAGTTCTGCTGTTGCCCCGATTAACATGACTCAACAAGATTCAGCGCATGAACAACATCAACAGCTGTCTGTTTTATAGTGATGTGATGAAATCTGTCTATGCTGCACGCCTGCATAGACGGGATTTTCTTTTTTCATAATTGAAGCATTCCTTCACAGTTTGCCGTGTTCAGGCTGATTCATGCACTGCTGCAGTTGCTCTGGAGATGAATACAAACAGACAGAGCCGACAGGAACTCTGCTGGAGAACAAACAATATCTCTGTTCTCCTGCGTCCCCGCTATCAGTTCTTTGTTCCCACAATTTAAAATGAGCAAATCCAGAGAAAGTAAGATTCTCTTTCATGCATGATTCAGCTCTCCGAGTTAAAGGCAGAGATATGTGCTTTCTGATAGCAAGTACCCTTTTTCAGGGACTTATCTAAATCGAGAGTGGATCACAGAGTGTGTTCTATAGTATACAGATTGCAAAACTGACCGGACATTGTCTGTCTAAAACTTTATGGTTGTATATACTGCTTGAGCTCTTTTCAAGTGGAACTAGACTAATTGGAATGCAATCAAACCTGTAGTTAGGCTGTACAGGCTGAGTGGTAAAGAGATTTAGATCTGGTTGTTGCTTAGAGCTAAATGCTAATGTAAGTAAGCTATCAAGCACAGGCTGCTCAAAAAAAAAAACTTTTCATTAATCCCTTTAGGGTAATTGTTGCTCCAGATTGTGGAAAGTGTAAAATTGTATAGCTTAAGCACGAAGGAGGTAATGCATGTCCTGTAATGTTCAGCGGAGCCTTTAGTCTATCTCATCCTCTGGGTGGGATAATGATGCCCCTCTAGCAAACCAAACACTATTTAAAAGGTGGGAGACATAAATGGTAGAGAGAAGTTTTGACAGTATCCTCCACTGCACGACTGTGTAGTGATTGTCCAGCTCTACCCGCAGGACTGAGACAGCTTTCTGAACGTATTTGTTTAGTCTCCTTGTATTGTGCAGCTTTAGCCTCAATGGCCAATTAAATGGAAGCAGATTC